AAGCGTCGTGACTGTGACAAAGTTTATGTATCCTTCATTAAAAAATATTAAGGTGGCAGCAGACAGAATTATAATGCACTTCATTTATGTTTTCAGCAAGTATTCTAACAAAATAGGCTGATAATTCTAGAGAGCAAGACTTCACTTGCTGAAAAATGTCATCTGGCTAACTATTTGATAAATAGTGCGGTAGACCTAAGTAAAAATATGTCCCGCCATACTTACGAGATTACTTCTTTTTAAAGCCTGTGTTAAATAACTATCTTATTCTTGTAGAGTACATGCACATCCATGGATGGCTATCCAAGCGCTCACGTGTAAGAACCAGAATTTTAGCATTTAAACGAAGTATATTTGTCAGTTCATAGATTTAAGGTTCACAGATTTTCGCGTGATCCTAGTGATCCTTTTAAAATAGTCAAGCACATGTACAACCAGTGTGTGGAAACTGTTCGTTTTGTCTTGCACTTTTTAAACCTTTGCTATTTCTCACTGTGCTGTGAGTTTCAATATGGAAAGTTCATGTGAATTGAGATTTTTTACACATAATCTCAGTTTAAATTTTACCGCATTCTTTTGTCTGCTCATTCGCAAATGGTATAATCTTACCTCCTGGAAGCAGCGATGCACCTGTTAGTGAAATCAAAGTGGTCAATGAAAAGAACTGAAACAAAGATTATAAGCGAAATAAGCTACAGTACAGGACTAATTTAATGCATTAATTTTTCAAATAGACTAACCACAGTGAGCACTTTGAAAAAATATGGAAATTCCGTGAAACGTGAGACATAGAGTGGCATCTGAAATAGCGCATAGAGCGGCGTTTTCAGAGTGTTAGCGCAGTTTTGTTGGTATGCAGATGTAGAGGGACGGAATTTCATTCAAAGGAAGATAAAGGTAAAATGTACAAGTTTGATGGTATATGCTCATGAAGCTGATGATTAATCTTCGTTGTGAAGCATAAAACTGCAATATAGGCAAAAAATCATGTTTGCACCCATGTGAAAAGTGCCATCATCAAAAATTGCAGCTCGGAAGAAGTCTGTTCATTTATTGATTAGGCGTTTGCTTCTGTAGGCAGTACCATCAAAGAACTTTACACAGAAAAATAAAGCATGTAGAAAGGCAAGGAGATCTATGCTGCATTGGTTAATGTTAAGTATATAGATATGACAAGTGCTTCACGTCAGCTGCTGGGCTACATACAATTTCAGACTGTAACAATACCGTAATGAAAAAAAATTAGAAGGATCATTAGGGGCAAAACAAATTTGAAATAAAAAAGTTGTCAACGCTCAAACTTTGATCACACCTGTGTAAAAAAGCACATTCGATTGTTGATTTATTGTTGCAACTGACCAAAATTGTTGAAAACCTTTTT